CCCCCCCAAAGATAAAACCAGCTGAAGTTAAAACTCCAAATGAACCATTTAGTTTTGTTAATTAAAAAACATAGCTGAATGATACAAACATCTTTCTCCTTTAAACATTTTATACCAAAACTGCTCACTTCATGAAATGTTTTCTGATCATCAAGCAAGTAGACAAGAACAAGGAGAAATCTCAGGAACTCAGAGCTTTGTCCAGAAGGGGCACTGGGAGCACAGATGTGACTGGGTTAGCCCAGGTCCAAAAGTCAAAGGGGCAGTCCATGAAGGTGCTGTTCTCAGATGGCCAGCAGTAGCCACTTGCTCTGCCCCACGTTCCAAAGGAGGTAGCCAAATCCTACGTCTCCTCCCCACTGCAGAAATTTGTACAACTTAAGAAATATATTAGAGATCCTTCCAGAAAGCTGTACAGCACTAAATGACTTTCTAAAACCCTGGAAGGGCCTGCATATTCACTCAAGAAATAACTTGAGCATCTCCTATGTGCCAGTGTGCGATAAAAACATGCTTCCTTCCCTGGCTGGTGTGGCTCAGTTGGTTAGCACGTCATCTCGATACACCAAGGTTGTGGGTTCAATCCCTGGTTAGGGCACATACAAAAAGCAACCAACAAATGCATAAGTGGAACAACAAATCGAGGATACATCTTAAACAAACATGAATACATCGTCTGAAACATTGACAAGGGCCAGGAAGGAAGGTAACAGGATTCACCTTGTCTAGAAAGCCAGGGGGCTGAGAGCGGAGAGTTGAAAGTGAAGAGGGAGAGAGGAGGCTATCCAAGACATAAGGAAAGCTGTCCTAAGATGGCCCTGGGATGAGCTTGGGAAAGCCTGTAGCCAGAGCAAAGTGATATGAGACAGAATGTAAGGAAATGAAGTCAGCCTCATCCAGTGCACACTGGGGAACCAAAGGTCTGGAAAGCATGCAGTGGTCCAGGGAGACCAAGTCCAGGCAGAGAGGAAGATGGCTCTGCGGGAGGGGAGGGGACGGGGG